ACCTTAACCAAAATCAAAGTAGACTATCACTCACCCACACCAGATGGATAACTCTACAGACTGTCGGTTCCCTCCATTTTTCCTCAGCAAGAGTCTGGGTGCCGAGATCAAAAGTTCAATGTGAAACATTTGGGCATCAGGGCTGATCAAGCTTTGGGCCACCCTAGCCCATCGAGTACTCCTTAAAAAAAAAAAAAAAAAAAAGGGCGGCAGCCTTGCGATATTATCATGAAACTGACGGGCCCTATGTAATTCGGGAATTTCGTTCATCATGTGGAATCAAACTCGGGAGTCGGGAGTGCATTTTAAGTTTTAACAGTTTATGGGTGTACCAACTGAGCCAAGCCCGTCTGTCCATCGGGTACTCTACCTCGTGCAACGAAGATAAAAGTTCTACCTCCATGGTTTTTGCAGGAAACCAGCTATCTTCGAGTTTGATTGGCCTTGTCATTCATTTGCGGGAAAAAAAAAAAAAAAGATTGGCCTTTTCAATCATCTGCAATCTTCACTGAAGGACAGTGAAGGGGAGAGACTATATAGGCTGAAGGCGCGAAGCGTAGGCCATACATCTACGCTTTCCATCTTCATTCGTTTGCTACATCCAATCAATACTCTGTCGGCTAGAGGGGAGAGCCACTCACCTTTAGGCTCTAATAATAAATACATAGGCTAGTGTCTATTCATGCATATCCCCCATCTTATAATTAACAGGGACCCCCACGTTTCAGGCCATAGGTTAACCCTCCAAATACTGAAAGGGACATTTGCAGATAATTCTTTCCAGTTTGTCGCTTAGCCCTGATGAAAACTGACTTCTGGCATTCGCATGATTTATTGAATTTTTATTCCATGCTCTCCTCTCTCTGGAGTCGGTTGTTACGAGGTGCAAGGAAGGCCGAAGGCACTCAACTTGACTCAAGTGGTTTTCTAAGAGGGTGACGACCTTGAGATATCACCATTGAACTGACCGGCCCCAAGTAATTCAAACTTCAAAGTGATTTTTATTCAGGTCATCTGATTGTATCAGGGTTCGAACTTGGGTCTGTATTTTACTATTTTTTCAACAGTCCGTTGTGTGTACCAACTGAGCTACGCACGTCGTTGGTGGCACTCGCATCCATTGATTAGTAGTGTCTTTGCGACATAGAATCAATGCTGGCAGGTTTCGCAGGCAACTTCCTGCATTCATTCTGTATTCATTGTAAAGGGACGCTGGACCCGTTTTCCAGCAGGTGATGCTCCCTCCCCACCAATAGACGGAGCCTCTCCCCGGGTGCTAGTGGTGACTGATCTTGTCAGCACCACTAGCACCGCAGGGGGGGCGTGTTTATTAAAAAAAAAAAAAAAAAAAAAAAAAAAAA